TTGTAGATGCAATACTGCACTACTGCACGCAGAAGAAGAAGAAAAAGAAGAAAGGGAAGTCGGGGAAAGACAAGACAAAGAAGAAGAAAGATGCAAAGCCGCCAGCAGAGGAGACAGAGGCACAAAGGCAGAAGCGTGAACAGAAGGAGGATGAGGAACGACAGAAAGCGGAGAAGAAGGCTGAGGAGGAAAGGAAGAAGCAAGAAAAGAAAGAGCTAGAGGAAAAGCGGAAGGAGGAGGAGAAACAAAAGAGGGAGACACTGAAGAAATCAACTGGGAAAGTCAGACAGGCCTGCAAGCGTTGGCTCAATCTTTATTTCCTAATTCGACCTTGATTGATGAGTAATTTAATTTTGCTGTGCATGCATGCATGCATAGGTGACATGTGACACATAGTTTTATTAATTCACAGTGTGCTAAAACGATTGTAACAACTGCATTCCAGGTAATTGGGAAGCTGAACGCTGCAATTTCCAAGTCCTCCGTCTTGAAGGCGAAGGCCGACAACATGTCCAAACCTCAAGTGTATAAGGTTTGAAGTGGGCTCACACATGTCCAGTGAATGAGGTCTGATAACCTTCGAAGACTCTTCTTGGAGGAGATGAAGCCCCATGTCTCTGCTATGAGTTCATACCGGACAAAGCTACAACACCTTGTGGACACTGCGAAGGCGCAGCTAGAAATCTTACCAATCGTTGGCTAGTACAAGCAATGGGACACAACGCTTCATTGCTTTCCTTTTCCTGTCATTCCTATCAGCCACTACTATCAGCTGTGATGTGAGATTTAAAACATGTCTAGCCTGGCCTACCCCAAACGAGGCTGGTGATGAAGCAAAGCTCGACAAGTACTCAGAGGATACTTCAGTGATTGCCAATTTTAACCAGTTCCTCTCGGACAATAACATGAAGTGATGGGATCAATGATGCCAACATTTTTGGTGCTGGCAGAAAGTTGAGGGTGGGGTGAACCTTAGGCCTTGGCAAATGCAAATGAGCCATTTGCTTTAGGGGGGCTAGGGATTGTGAGGGCCACAGTGGACTTACTGGGATGCGTTTCAAACATGAAAACATGACGACCCATCCATGGATGTCCTTTGCTCGTTGCTGTGGCCCCGTGCGATTGAAAGATGCTGTGCCAGCTCTTTGCCCACCTGAGGCGACCACATGCCAGCATGAACGGGGTTCTTTGAGTTGAAAAGCGTAATCAGACTTCCAAACATGCCATGTCCATGTCCTGTTCCAACTTCATAGGACCCTTTGCACTGCGCATGCGTGCCACCTGACCTGACCTCGTATCCTGGAGGTGGTAGAGATAGAACGAGAGCTCATGATCAAGATGAAGAATGTGCTTTTGTTCTGGAACAACAAATTGACAGCGTAAGTCGAGGGGTTACTTGGCCTATATGCTAGCTTATTCTTCTTCGACTGTCGAAAGCTTTCGATGGCCCTGCCTGCGACTCCTGAGGCGAGCTCTACTCATGAAGCGATGCGGCAAGTCAGAGCTCACTTGAAGGTGCCTCGGCTGCTCAGGCAGAAGTGCTGATCTCTGACCATTGCTATCAGATCAATCTGGAGGGGCTAAAGGAATCTACCATGTATGCTTGTGGGGTATCTCAGAGTGGCCCATGTTTCCTGAGGAGTCAGGAGATTGTGCCCATCCAGATTCTACAATTTAGGTTCAAAATCAGGGTGGAATGACAGCCGAGACTTCTGGTCGATGACAGAAATTCCAATTGTGCCCTGCCTCTATTGGGTCATTTTTGGGTCGTGCGCAAAACTATCTCGAATTCATATTCAATTCACCACTATCAGGAAAAATTGAACAAAGAAATCGTTGTGTCCTTGAGCACAAACATCATATTTATGCAAACCAAGTCAAACCAAGGAGATGAACTGGCATCGTGTACCCATCAAAGATCCGAAGAATGAGAAGAGGGTAATATTTGAGAACCAACCAGTACTATATCCACATCAGGTGCTGGACTATTTGTTCAACGTGGTTTGTATGGACCTTGACCTTAGTGACCGTCAGCAATTTTGGCGGCATGCTCGGAATAACATGGAAAGTTGGGCAGTTCTCCATCCTGCGAGTGATGGCCACCATCCGGTGGGACTGTATGGGGATTCAGCCCGCCTGAACACCCGGAACAAGGCTGAGAAAATATGTGGGATCTTTTTATCCCTAGTGCTTTTCCGACCACGGAGTGTACGATTCTCACGATTCCTTTTGTGGAGTTGTGACAGCCTCAAGTTCTTCAAGAACAGAACAACCAACCATGTACTTCGAATCATTGTATGGTCCCTTTGGCATTGCTTCAGAGGAGTACACCCCAGCTTTGATTTGCATGGCCACCCCATCCAATCAGACAAATCTGGGAAACAACTGACGCCAAAGAAGGACATGTTTGCAGTGGTGGAATATAGAGGAGATTGGGAGTGGCATAAACAACTCTGGCGCTTTGATTCATCATGGAAATCAGCTGATCGTGTCTGCTACAGATGTTTTGCCAACGCTCAATCGTATCATGATACTTCACCGCATGCGCAGTGGATGTCACAAGAAATTGGGGTACTGGAGTTCTTCATACACCGCCTGAAGGACAAACACATATGTGACTCGGCTGTCCGTATATGATATACATGTTGAGCTTGTGGGGCGAACAACCTAGAGACCATCCCCAAATTCCCGTGACTCGTAAAGCAGTGCAGTGTGTTGCTCAAGAAACCTGATCTCACATCTGAGGCCCTTTGGTATTTTTGGATGGCTTCCACCCGCAACTTTTGCGGATTTGCTCAATGCACACCTTGAATTTAGGCTTACTGTTTTCTTGCAATGGCGCCAGCTTGCTACTTGGCAAATTTGGGTGTTCCAACAATTTTGTGCAATCCACCTTACCCCTAACACATGGAATTCCAACCCACTGCCCCCTGCAAAACTGCTGCCATGGCACAAACCAGGCCAGCTTGTCGATGAGGACCATGACCATGTGTCAACAGTCAGTGCCATGAATGGGGCCTATATAAGACCTTTTCTATAAATACCATCTAAACACTTTAGGGGGCATACCGGGTGCTAGGCCCTATTCATGGCACCAACTTGTCCTGCAATTGGTGGCAGCCAAGGGTGATGCTGTGTGAAGAGCTGCAATGGTATGGACCAGGACCCTTTCAGCGTCAATTGGATCAGGCCTATGGTGACTTTATCTCATTCTGCAAAGCCCGGAAGATACCCCATTCTCAACCTCCCTGGACAACCAAACTGGAATCTTGGCATGACTCACAAATGATTGAGGATTCCTTGTTCTCTAACATATTAATTTTTGAGCACTCAGCAAAGTGATGTGGGAACGTCTTGAACCAAGAGTGTGAGTATTTATGAGCATGAGCATGGCTGAGGTGAAAAAGAAATCAGGAGACATACTCATGACTGCGAAGGCCTACAATGGAAGATGCATTTTGGAATTCCTCGCCTTTGAACTGGAGAATGCCATTGCCAGTGGTACCTATCCCAACAATCAACGGCTTGCCTTAGCGGCAGTTTGCATGTGCCTAGCCTGACATGCATTGTATTCAAAATAAGCTGAAACCTGGGCCCACCATCAATAAAAACGTTGTGCCAAATGGTGGTAACCTTTCTACAAAGAACAGGTCTTCAAATTCCATTGATCTACAAAAGGTCACTTTGCGTTTGTTTGTTTCTCAGGGTCTGAGTCTATTGCTGCAATTCCCAACCCAATCAGTCCTTAGAGTGATGATCACCACCACTTTCCAAGGAGGGCCATGACCCGCTTCTACTTCTTGACAGAGACCAATGGGCGGCATTTGACTCTTGTTGTCAAGTCATTGTACGTTCTTCTTCAGGTGTTGATGGATGTTGATGGGGCGCTAGGGTCGTATGTTAGCTATCAGTTGTCTAAGGACAAGAGATCTACAGGTTTTGAGTGTAAGGTGTGCACTTTTGGTATGATGTTTGTTTCAATTGTTTCGATGTATATCACATACTCCCGTTATGTCCTTCCGTCTGACTGTCAGGGCTGGATATCATCAGTTCCTGATGCGCCCAAAGTATCATGCTTCTTGTCATTCAACGAGTTCAAAACAAAGGTCTCTATGTGACCTGACGGAGGTGTCATGCAAGCTTAGTCATGCTGTGCTTGCACTTGTGTGCAAAGAAACCTGCCAAGATGATGCTTCACCTGTGCCATGACATGAAGAACCACAGAATCTATTCTGAATTCCTGTGATTGGCAATGCACAAGTGTTCTTGTGTTGACAGTTGGTGAGAGCACTTCTCAAGTGTGCATCATCCACTGGATGTTGCAAGGATCCAACTGCCGTTACTGGCACACATTTATCGACGAAGACGCTATGCGCTGGCTAAAATGCTACTCGGTCGTTTGTGTGAAACGTGAAGATTGGGCATGACATTGTTGGTGGTTGCACCCTGTGCTGCTCCTGTGTGGTTTGTGTAGCCTGAGGCGTTGGAAGTGCTTCTTCCTTCAAGAACAGAGGGAGGAAGGTCTTGCGCTGTGGAAAGCTTCGAATGCGTTCCATGATGGGCAAGATGAAGTGGTGTCTTGGCTTGAATTTGCGATGAACTTCAACTTCAGGTGGTTAAGAATGCATAAGAATAATATGTTTTTCATCTAAGGCTGTTGAGGTCTTCCAAAGCAAGGCGATAAGAGCCTTTGGATCTCTGTGCGGAAAAGAACGCACAAGTCTGAAGACTGCTGCAAGGGAAGGGTAGCAGTGATTTTAACAACGACTATAAAAAAAAATAGTGGTTAGACTTGTAGGGTATATATATATATATGTATTTAAACGTATTACAAAGGTCGACCATCTATGGATATGTAAAACTATATAAATTCGAACCTCTTCTGAAAGGGTGAACAAATTGGGCGCCCTAGCCCGGCCGCGGCCCGTCCGCACTCTTCGTGCTAAAGAGGCCTAGCCAGTCTGAAGATCTTTCCGAAAGCGCCCAACCCGATACCCGTCCTTCAAAATGCGAAGCCCGGCGGGGTTGGGTCCCACAGCTGCCCAGTGAGATGCCATCGCGCCATAGCCGTCCTTCCTGCTACAATCGGCGTGTGCCTCCAACAGCAGCTTCAAGCACTCGTTGTGTTTCAGGAAGCAGCAAATGTCCAGGATGGTGGTGTTCGGCGCGAATTGCATGATGCGATCATGCTTCGTGATCTTGTCGTTCACATCCTGGGATGCAAGAACAACCGCGGTTCACGGCATTGACCGTCCCCCGAAACAAATCAAGGGGGGTGTTCACGTGTGAACCACTTCACCAAGAGGGATGGAAGAATCAACAACAATGCAAAAGCACCACCCAGCATCTGCCCGGCCCTGCAACAAAGCGGATACAAGCTCGGTGTCTCCAGACAGGGCTGCATAGCACATGGGGGTCCAGCCCGATGGTTGACGCTCCAACGTGCTGAGGCCATTCTGTCGCATGAACTTCGTGACAACATCTAGGCCTTCCTCAATGATCATCAGGTCATCCACTAACTCTTCATTTAGGCCTCTCCAGGGGGTCAAGGATTGATATAAGCCAAAAAGGTAGACAGTGCTCTTTTCAAACGACAAAAACAAACAGCAACAATCTGGCTGGGCTCTGCCTACCCCCATTGTTGAAACAGTTTCAACAATCTAAAGTTAAAGAGCGGGAATCCGCAAGCATGAATGCTGTGCCTCTCAACAAAACCACCTGCAAGCTCATCATCACCCTGAAGTTGTGCAAATCGCCTCCCATCTAAAGCGAGGACCATGCGAACAAAAATGGACAATGGACTTCGATTGGATAATCAACTCCTTCTTGCCAAATTAGAAGTTTGTTTAGTTGCTATTGGTCATTGGCTCATCTTTGGACAACAGCGGTTACACTTGCATTGATGTTCACCCAGGATTCCAGTGAAGCTTTGAACTACCAGTTTGACCAGTTTTCCAGAAACAGAAAGAACATTGTCCACAACATGGTTCCTACATCGAGCCTGAGAGCACGCAGGCTCGATCCGAAAAATCTAGATGTAGGCTGTAGAAACATATTTTATGCATAATATAATATTTGTATATATCTCACATTCATGCATCAGAATGCCTTAAGAATGTCTGGGTTAAAGCCCCAGGAGTGACTGATGCCGCCATTCAGACGAGTTGATCCAGCCCTATCCGTTCCGAAGCAGTCCAATAGATAGACCCTACGACTCGCTCCAAAATACCTGCGAGAGATCTGTGAAAACTGTCCCAAAGACTCCATGAGACTTGTATTACAAACACAAACTCTTCCAATCCCTGCGCTTCTATAAATCTCAATTCCTGTGCTGCTGCCTGTCCCAAACATTCCATGGGGGGTGTATGGGGGTGTATTCTATGGAGTGTCTCCGTTGGTTGGATCAGTCTGGATCAAACGCTTCAGTTGATGTCGGGTAGGCTTGCCTGTGTTAAGGTAGTAGTTCATCTTTTCCCGCAATAAAGCTCTCACCTCGGGAACCCCGTGCGGACATCGAGGCGTGTCTCACGCAGCTGGCATGAAGCTGGCAGGGTGTTCTGCTGGGAGGCACACCCATGCGTAGTGTTCTGCTGAATTGACCTTTACGGACACCCAGTTTGTGACCCGTTAGAGATGGAGGGAACCTGCTGGACTGAGACGGACCGGGCTAGCCTATCAACAGTAGAGGCCGGGAGGGCGGGTGAAGAAAAGGCTTCTCTGTGTTCTTCATGGAAAACACCTGCTTCGACCATCGTTTGACCAATCTATACAGTATACCTTCGATCAAAGAAGAGACAGGTGAGACAGGTGTCAAATAGCTTTGCTGTTCTATGCTGTTCTTACCACTCGAAGACACTCGACTCCGCCTCCAAGCCACTGCCTGGCCCACCTTGGCCCGATCAGAGGCGACGCTAAAGGCGCCTTCGCCCACGGGATATTTCACCCAGTCGAAGGTAGCTGCCAAGATCTGGTGTTGAGGACTTTGCACCCTGAGCGTGGACATGTGACATGGAGCATTGGAATGGGCCACCTGCGAGGCGACCCTCGGACCCGAGTGTCCTGGGTAGACTGGTCGATTTCCACCGAACCCCAGGTGGAGGGGGTACACATCGCACCCAAATAGACGATGCATGGAAGCGAAATCCAGGGTGGTGGGCCATTGGGTATGGTCGTTGAGTGTTCGTGTTCCTTTTGCAGATCGAAGTGGAGGTTCTCCCTACGAGTAGCTATAGTTCAATACAGACCCAATTCGGATCCTCGACATAATTCAACATTGCAAACTATATTGGCTCTCTTGAATATGCGACGCTCTTCAGACTCAAGACCCAGAAGCATTCTCTGACGAATCAGGAGAATGATCGATTCAGTCAAGGGAAACCTGCTATACATCGACTATACCGGTATACATCCAGTCCAAAACGTCGGTTTAGCAGGGACCAGAGTGGATGATGATTACTCTGAGAGTAAGAACGAACACCTGAAAACCCCTTCTCCAACCAAAATAGGGGTTATACGTTATACTTTTGTTACTCTTACTGGTAATGGGCCACAGCTCCACACCCCAGGAACGAGTTCCTTCTCCAAGGAACTCGATCATCACCCCCGCATCTTCATGCTTGCTCAGGGCCCTGGACAGTCGTTCCATCCGGCACCAAGCCCGGTCAGACCAGGAGTGTTTTCCCAAGAGCTTGCCATTTTCATGCCGCACAAACCTCACGGTCCAACCAACGATGCCAGCACGAAAACAAGACATAAAGACAAAGAAAGCCTAGGAAACCAGCACCACCATTAGGTTTGCAATCACATGCAATCACCATCCAGCCAGGCTGGTGCTGGTTTTAAGGATGTTGGTCTCCGCCCAGCCACGGTGAAAGGATCACAAAGTACTTGCACCGCTCCTTGGAGGAAGCTGGAAGCTGATCAGTAGCAAAAGGAACAAAACGCAAAGAGCAACAAATACAACACACATTAACATAGTATGAAGAGTCATTCTGTTAATGAGTAGAACCAGGGTTCGATGTATGCTGGAATGCTGTTGATGGCTAAGTTCAAAGAACTTGCATAGGCCGGGTCCTCGAGTTGAGCAAGACAAGCCAGTGTTCCAACTGTCGAATATCCTTTCTACACGGGTACAATATCATCTTTCTACACGCCTCTGGCACCTTCCTTGCAGGAGAAGTCTCAATGATTAAAACATGTCTGTCCTGTCGGGGATCCACAGGGTTGGTTGCAAAAAATACGGTGATGATAGTTTGTACAAGCCAGCTGGCAATCAATGACGCACAAACTATGCACCAACTGTCGAATTACCTCCAAAAGAACTGCGGCTTGTCCATGCACATGTCAAGCATTGCAACCTCCAAGGCAACCCAAACCAACGAAATCACCTGCCTGCGGGCAGCTGAAGAAGTCATACCAAATGAACAGCTCATCCTGCGACTTCGCGTGGCGCGGAACCTTCAGATTCAGCAGCTCAGCAGGGATGCAACGCTGCTTGCCATGCACTCCCTGCTTGAGAGCTTCCTCGCAGGAAGTGGCAGAACGATTTCGGCTTTCGCTCAAAACCAGGGTTTTGGCTGTGGGGCCAGCAATGAGCTTGTCAAAGCTGAGTTGCCAATAGGAACAACACCATACAACACCCATTTCCCTTCATCACGACGGGGTTTTATCTTGGATGGCAGCTGTCCTCACCTTGTCCCCGCACAAACCAAACCAAACCCAAACAAAAAAACATGAACAAGAACAAGCAAACAACACCAACTACCACTGCTACCACTACGACTTTTCTATGGGATAATTACATGGGAAGCTAGACTGATCAAACATATTGTTTCAGTGCCCAAACTCCATCAATCGACCTGCAAGATTTACCAGACCAGAGTCTCTTGAGGACTTTTTGCAGCACAGGCCTCTGTCCAGTTCCAAACTGTCAAACCCCTCACATGAGCCGAGGTGTATTTTCATCATCTGTCGGTGGATGTGAATGGGAAATGATGGATTTCGCCCACATGCTTCTCGTAGTCCCTCCATGAAGATCAACATAGATCAACTCAAAAATCGATGAACTCGAAACATCCCTGACATTCCCTGACTACTAGTAACAAGAAGCTACCATGGGCTCCTGGCCTTACTACTAGGAGCAAGGACGCTACTAGGGGCTCCTGGCAGTACTAGTAGCATTCTTACTACTATAGTAGCAAGAAGCTACTGGACCATCCCTGAAACACCATCCGCCCCACGCTCGACGGACCCGGCAGGTTCCTGGAGCACGCGGAACTGATCCCCTGAGCGGTCGGGATGGCCCAGCGAAGTCCACTGGTGCGACACAAAGATGGCCTGGTGTCAGTCTGTGCGGGCGATTGGAAACCAGGAGCCTGTGGTGGTGTGTTGCTTGAGGAAAAACAACAGCGGTAATTACGTATATAGATGTACGTTGGTTTCAGGGACCCCTGCATTGCAAAAGGACGCCTTAAATGATGTGCGATCTGTGTGCGGGTCATGATGGCGTGCTTTGCGAACTGCTGCTTTTTGAAGCAGCCTTCGAGCATCATTGCCACCTGGCAGAACATAGTCCTTCAAAAAAATCCAAACCTAGTCCTAGTTGCAGGTTGGGGAAGGTATCTTCACCGGAACCAAGATTGAAGTAGAACAGTCGAACCTATTTCTAGAGACAAGCAAGAGCCCGAGTGGCCCAAGCCCTTCAGGTTGGTGATTGGTTTCCCATTTCCAGGACCATTTCCAGTCTTTGGTTGCCATCCAGTCAGTCACCCAAATGGGGTCATGGCGACGCCGGTTTTGACCACCAGAATAGGCCACCTGGGAGGTCAACCTACCCTGGGCTCTCTGGGGGTTTTGACCCGTTCACGGCCAGACTGGCCTCGCCCTTGGACCGGCGTGAAAACTCCACCAAAAGCCCTTCGTTCATGAGCTGCTCGTGTGGCTTCACCTCGAGCATCCTCGGAAAACACGGAAAACATCCAACAACACCGCCGAATGGGTTGGAGTTTTGACTCCAAAGTCGCCTCCAAAGCCGCCTCCAAACATGGTCGAGCATCAGAAATATGACACAAATATCAGACTACATTCATCAACATCAACATACAGGTACCGGGTAAGCCATACTAAACCAGCCAAAACTGGGGTCAAATTCTGCGATCATACAGACGACCGTTTGGATCCGATGTGTTTGACTCCCAGATCTGGGCTCGGAGAGCGGGTCAAATGGCCGCTCAAACAACGGGAAGGAGAGCCACATCACACAGATCTGGGTTGCTTCCACATGTTGTTGATTTTGCTTTTTTTACATAGTGTAATGTCCGTCTACTCACTATCCCCAGCAAGAATTGCTGCTCGCGGGGTTGGTGTGAGTGTGGTGGGCTGTGCCCAACCCACTGGTGACACGGTTTGTCTTTATGTTTGCTTCCTCATATTTCATCGAACTGCAGTATCAAGCTACGCGGATAGCTTTGTGTGACCATTGGCCAGTGTAAGAGATAGGATAGGGTTCACATATATGAAGAGGTTTCTCAATTCAAATGGGGTGGGTATATTAATCAAGCGTCTACATTAAGAATCTACCACATTGGCATTGGAACGATCTTTGTTCCATGAAGCTACGCCGACTGGGACCTGTATTTGTTCCAGTGAGCGTGGAGACAAACAGCCGCTACCAGTCTTGCTACGACTGACTGAAAGTGGGGATGAGACCGGTTTGGCTCGTTCTTAACACAGGGTGGTCCTCTAAATCCACTTAATAGACGTACATTTGGGATCATTTGGGCAACGCTTCATCAGGACACCCAGCGGATGTTTGATTCGCCACGTTGGGGAAGCACACACACACATATATATATATTATGTAAACATGCACGACCTCCTATCGGAGCTCTTAAAAGGTCGTTCTGCCAGTTCTACAACGAAGCAACCCTTCACCCTTCACCCTTCACTTTGTTAAAAACCCTTCTTACTCAACCTTCAGCCGGAAGGGGAGGCCAACACAGGTGTTTTGTTCCGGAACAAGGGACGACCGACCAGAACCAGTGGATCCCAGGCAGCCCAGGGATCCATGTGGAACCGTTTGGTCTATGGCTTTTTGCGAACCAGAAACAAAGGCATGGAACTCCAGCACAGGTTCAAGAACCCTATAGACTATCCTATAGGTACCCCTCTAGGGTCCTATGAGGTCACCTCTGTTGGCTCCCCAAAGAATCTCAGGCAAGCCATATTGAGCTGTGTCGAAAGCCTATTGGAAATGGCTTTAATCCTAGCATCCTTTCGCGACAGGCTATCGCGGTCCTTTCGCGACCACAGCTGAAACCAATCTAAATCATCAAAGGAGCTCGCTTCCGGGACCACCCACCCCAAACACTCCATGGGACTTGAACATTTACCTACACTGACCCCTTGAAACAAGCACTCTCATTGATCGGTTAATATGCCAGTCCCATGGAATCCCAAATATTCCAATCAACGAAACCTTGGTCTTTCACTAACCCATAGGGAACCCCGTGACCCCGTGACCCGTGTCTTTTTTACTGTAATTCTTTTGTAACTATCATGTCTGCATCGTCAGTTTTCCGTTTCGGGCACAAAGGGCAGCTTCGTCGTATCTCTGGGAGATACGTGCAGGTGAGTGGTGCCATAGCTATGTCTTCCTGTTCCACAAGACCCAAGTCGAAGACCTAAAATGTTCCGTGCCTGGATTTACTGGAGATTTACTGGACTCGTTGGAAGACAAATCGCATCTTTACAGCTTTTGGAAGTTGGAGGCTGTGGGGTCGGGTCGGGCGTGTCCATGTCCCACCAAGCTTCTCCAGGCATACTCGAAGTGTGACTACAAACCTCAGATAAAATAGCTGCTAAATAACTATATAATATATATATAGCTTCTAATTCTATAGCTTTGGACTCTCTGGAGCAAATATGAGCTATAGGAAACCATGGCTAAAACAAACACGCACCGAGAAGACGTTCCAACGAACCACTGAGGCTTCAAATCGATACGAAACATTCACATGATCAATACAACAACAGGTCAGCGGAACATCTGTTGTGACCTACCTGATTGACCTGTGAACATCTGTTGTTCGTTGGAATGTTTGGAGGAACCACGGGCACACCAATAACATTGAGCCCCAACTTCAACCACCCCAATGTAGATCAATATGGCATATATGGGAAATAGCTTGTGTGATGACACCTGAATGTAGGATTATGTAGGTCTGTGGGCCACTGGGCGGATCTTCGTGTTCTCGCATCATTCGCATCTCTGATGTCTCAAGCACCGAACCTCGATCTGGTTAGGCACTTGCTTTGTTAGCCATTCGAGTCTTTGGGGGAAAGGTCTTCGACCTACTTCGACTGTTAAGGGGTGACATGGCGTGACTGTGATAGGGGTGACATGTCGAAAGACACTCGTTTTCTCCAACTTCGGATTTCACGAAGTTCAGCTCCATGTGCAGCTCCAAGGGACATTTTGAAGAACATCTCCACAGAGCTATACGTCTTCAAGCTCGGCGTGGTCTCCATCCCGGCGAAACCCGGGATGGCTCCACCGGCTTTTTCGCCACGCGGAGGGGTCCGGTCCGGTCGCCAGGGGGAGGTTGGCGTGAGGCTGCAAAAGGCCGCAGGGGATGTGGCACATATAACCCCTCGATCCGAATGAGCCTCCAAAACCTGGTAGTTTTTTGACCCCCTATCCAAGGGGTGTGTGTGTGTGTGTGTGGGTTTGTGGTGTACTTCTCCACCTTCATCTTCCATGTTTTCACCCAGCACCGATCCAAACAGCCAACACGATGTTCACGAATGACCACAATGATCACCCAATATCACCCCAAGACCCGAGAGCATGAGATATTTGGGGGCAAATCGGAAATTCATTCGTTTCGTTTGAACCTCAGGTTCATCCAACTCCCGCCCTGACCACCCCGAACACCATCTCTCGATGGAGTCGAAGCTGAAAAACCCCCGAACACCGATCAGCCCCCGGTCAGCGCCTTTCTGCGGGTGTCCTTGCACGAGCTCCAGGGATGGCAAGACCTGGAGTTGCCGTCCAGAAAGCAAGCGGGAGAAAAACACATTAAAACTCTTCCCCGGTGGATTCGTCCAGTTTGGGAAAATATCCCAAACACTCCATGGGACTGCCACAGGACTTCCGCCCCAAACAGACCCCCCATGGCACCACCCCTGGCCTGATCGGCATATGGCAGTCCCATGGAGTGTTTGGGATATTTTCCCATCACCAGATCTATCCCGACGCCTGCAAGCGCTCCATGGTCTCACGGCATGTCCGTGTCACCGTGACCTTCATCGCCTGGGAGCACCAAAAATTGGCTGAAAAAGGACAGTCATATGCAGTGACCAGCCAGGAGTGCTGGGAAAATCAGTTGAAAGAATGGAATAGACATCAATCTATTGAGTTCTATTGAGTTTATTGATGGAGTATATAATCTGGCCGGAGTAAATGTCAACAGTCTATCGATTGATTCAACGTCTAGCCGGGAGTGCCAGGTGTTGGGAAGTTTTGGGGGACATCAAGAGTGACATCACGTGCCCTGACTGAACTTTCTCACACTCAACTTTCCTGAACTTCGTATACGGCAGGTTCATGATCGAACTTTCTGCCCCGTATAGGGCAGGTTTTCTTAACTCAGTTCTCCATTCAGGTTCAGGTTCCCAAATTTTTCGTATACTCCCTTTTTTGCCCCACGGACCCACCGCAGCCTCCGGTTCTTGAACTTTGGGCAATGGACTCGCCACCGACGCATACCGCAAGTCACCTGAGGACATGACTGGGTGGACGCTATGCTCGGTTGAAGGCCATCGCAAGTAGGTTGGAGGCCATCGCTACTACTAGTAGTAGCGATGCCCTTCACCTCCGCTTTTGAAGGTCAAGAGAAGTGTCAGGGTGCGCATAACAACGTCGGTGCGTAGTGACAGGGTGTCGGTGCGCCGTCCTCGAGGTTGGGGTCGAGCCAGTCCCATGACCAGTCAGACTGGCCGAAAACAGCCGGACGGCAATCCTGTTGAACTCGTTGTGTCTTTCTCTCTGAACATACTGCAGCCTCACAAACATGATGGAAGCACTGATGGAGGCTGGTGGCGTGTTCTGTAATTATTGCGAAGGTTCTATCCACACAGAAGTATCGTTTGTCCAAAGTCATTCGGCGCATCTTTGATTCATGGTGAAGAAAAAATATACTGCATGTAGCTATACTGTAGATTTGCTAATGATGATGGTCTACGTTTACGGTCAACATGAGGTTTGATGCAAACCAAGATGGAGCTGGCTTTGACCGCAGGTACGGTATTGGCCATTGATTGTGCTGTCTTGAAACAACATCCCTCCATCAATCAGAGTTGCTGTGGAATGACAATAGCCGCTTTAGCCCATGTTCATACTCTGTCAATAAACCATGCGGACCATGGACCGTAGAAATCACATCGTCTAAAGGCCTGCAAAGACCGGACTGAATCTCGTAAAAGATGAGGGAGGATAGGGAGGATACCTGGAAGCCCAATAGACTCGACCTTTTTGTCAGACAAGCAATATGACCCAAACAATCACTGCCCATTTCTAGCCATTTTTTGGAACTAACTGCACTCTTTTTCGATATCTTGGTTCTGCACACTTTCAGCCTGTTATGACAAAGATGTTTACCAAAACATACCGAAACATTCCGCGTTCCCCCGTTTTTCTTCTCTTCACCCGAGAAGCCGCTGTGACAGGCTCAGACGAGAAGCCGGTGTGGACATAGTAGAGACCTCTCAAACCTCGGACCACAAACCGGTCTCAAAAAGGACTGGACCACAAACCAAGACCAGTGACATGAAGAGCACGTCGTTCGATTCCTCTTCCAGTTGCAAGTAGCCAAGTGATTTTCCAGTTCCTGCATAGTCATAGTTCCAAAGACTATGTTTTCGGAGGGCCGCAGTGGTACACAGCTATCAGGTTCACAATTTTTGTGATCAATGCCGATCGATGCTGCTTCAAAATTAAGCTCACTCTTGCATAGTTGGAACACCGCCCATAACAGGCCGTGGTGTTGTGTACCTTTTCTGTACATTGTCATCGATTTCACAACAATTTCAGGGACGCAAATGAGCGCTCATAGCGGTGGGTATCTAATGTCTTCTGTTGTTCGAAGACGGATGATCTTCGCGTATCTTCGCGTCATGTCTACGTAACTGGAAAAACATTGATGGCTACGAAGCATGAAGAAATATGAAGAACCTGCAGTTGATGAACAGACATTAAACATAGAATCCGTGCCTCATGGTCTGTACGGGGTGGGGGTCGGGGGGGATGGGCTGGGGTGTAGTAACGCTCGGCATCTAATGTCTTCTGTTGTTAAAGCACGGATGATCTTCGCGTCATGCGTCATGTATGCAACTTGAAGACATCGTTGTCTACGATGCATGAGGAAAGTGTAGCTGATGCACGTAAGAAGAATGAAAAGGAGCTTGTGTGGCAACAAATCTCAAGCAAAACAATGGATTTCCCTAAAAGCTTCCCAAACCTTGATAGTTGGGGGCAACTTAAATTGACTGTTGAAGCGTCAACTCTAATGGGAAGTGCACAGGAGAATTGTTCCCTTATGTAAATACGCCATTCAATCCTTGAAAACGATGAACGAATCTTCACCAAGCCAAATACGTGCATTCAAATCATTTTGCTGATCAGAATGGTCATTTCGTACCACGGCCCGCGATGGGCGGTGGACCTAGTGGGGGTCACGTACCATTCAGTTGGTTCTGTCGATTTGAGAGCTCCAAGGTTCAGTACTAGTAGCTTGGGCTTTGACATCGACCAGGGTCCAGGTCCAGTTGCCGTTGTTTTTCCTGCCTCTTGCTACAAGGGTGCTGAAACTGTTGGTTGGATCCTGATCCATGAGCCCGGGAAAACCGTTCCAAAACAGTTGAAACAACAAGTCTTTTTCAGAATGTTCCGGATGAATGGGAACATGTACAGGAATCTTGGAACACTTCGTTTTATCTTGTAAAAGATTGCCCCTTGGAAAACACACGCACACCCATTTACTGCGCAAAGTCCACTCCCAAAGCACTCCTGGTCATAAGAAACATCACCGAAAGGCTTCTCCCACAAACACAACAACATTGCAGTCATGGCACCCGACACTCTGGTTCACCTCTACCATGAACCGAACGAAACTAGAATAGGGGGCAGCAGGGGACAAGTTGAAAATAGCTTGCGTTGAAGATTCGTTCACTGATAGGGGGCTGCAAGGGGGCAAGTTGGAAATATAGTTTGTGTTGAAGATTCGTTGACATGGTCTACAAATTGCATGCTTTGGGCGGTTAGTGACGTTTTGCATGATTTTGACATGTGGCTGTGGGTCAACACCGCGTAACGCTGGTTGACCACTGAAAACAAACTGATTCTCCCAATTGCAACAAAATAACGTAATTTAATGTTAACATATGTCAACCTTCCATGGTTTGTAGAATGAGGTTTTGATCAACACCCATGACCCATACCCACCTCTGAGCAGTTTCGAGGCAACTTTCACGAATTGACAGTGAACACCCCGCCCTCTATATGTCCAGTCACGTGCGATGAGCTCGCTGCTCTCCTTGCGCCAACCGATCTCCACCTTGGCTCCAACCTCCAAAAAAGAAAGAAACGGCGGACCATGGCGGACCTGTGCACCCCTTTCCCTGCAGAACCAATATCCAAATGACTTCCACCACGCAAAAAACATGTCAGATGCGTAAACCACACCAACTTGCAAGCATTGACACACCAATTTGTAGAGATCTTGATCTCCAAATTGGGGATGTGTCTCGACTCCGATCTGTGTCGCCCAGGCACCAGCCACCACAGACTTCGACGCCTCACGGTGCAACACGCCCCCGGGATCCGCGCGCCACGCCGGTCGGAAGAGTCTCCGCCTTTCCCATCCAAACGGTCCCGTCCAAGGTACCCGGTGCCGGACGTTTGACTTTAAAATGACATCGTCTCACCTGAAGACCATCATCTCGAGACATGCAGTCTTGAACTCCCCAAACAGATGGAGCGAAGTCTCGAAGAAAGACACCAAAAACACACCCAGCTGGATCCTCAGCAGCGACCCAATGCATCCTTGGCGACGACCAAGGATCCAGCGGCTCGCCTGTTTAACCAAGTGACAAATGGACCCAGTAGCAGGCAATCAGAAGGGTGCCCAGCCACAAACTCCTGCCGGCTGAGGGCAGGATGCGTAAAGCACAAAGAAAAAGCGCATCCTGCCCACCGAATCCCCGCGTAGCGAGGAGCCAAGATACTTGGAAGCTCAAAGGTTAGACTCTGAAAACTTATAGACGTCAGACTCATAGTGCCTCTCAATGTGTTCAGGCCTTGCCTATTATCTTAACTACTCAAATACACCCCAAGCCCAGTGGATTCATGATGCTGCCTCTTTGTGCTGTTGTGCTCGCAGCGTCAAAAACCCTGACGTCTAGCAGTACGGCCAGGAGCCCCTAGCAGCGTCCTTGCTCCTAGTAGTAAGGCAAGGAGCCCCTACAAGAAATAGCGTCCTTGCTCCTAGTAGTAAGGCCAGGAGCCCCTATGAGGTCTGGCTTCAAAGAAGGACACCTGAATGGTTTGGGGATGTTTGGAGTGCCATCACTCATAGTCGTATGATGGCTTGAGCGCCTGTAGTCCCAAATCCAACATTTCCCACCCTGCGCAGTGGCTCTCCAGTGCTGGAACCACAGGGTGCCAATCAGCAAGGCGCCTGC